GTGCTTTATAAGTACTAATAAACAGCCAAAATGTTAATAATAGGCATGCTAATAATCAACTAGTTAATAGTGAGAATTGGTCTCTAGACTAAAGTGTTACCAAATTCTTAGTATTTTGCTTTAGACTAGACTAAATACTGATCTTTTACTGCCACTTTTTATCTATTTAATCAATTTCTTGTCTTACAGCATCTCTGAATTATCTTCATTTGAGGGTCTTTTGCAAAAATTGACAGAGTAGATGCAAGAATTGTGACGAATGTGATTAATCAGCATATCATGTAGTTTTATTCAATTGAAAATGTTAAGGGAATTTTAGGTGAATGACTGATTGATTAAGAACACAAGGATTAGGTCTGGATTACTGAAAGCACCTGTGGTTAGTGACTGTTTAAAAACCTCCCACGAACCCGAGCAGAGCGTGAGAAGAGTGATCCAATTCTTCACAGATTTAGGTTAGATAATACTTTTCAGCCTCAGACTGTGATAGAGTGGGAGTCAGACAGGAGAGAGAGAGAAAAGTTGGAAATGAGGGAACTCTCAGTGGAACGCTAGCTGAGGAACAGAAGTGGTGTTATGTAAATAGGCCCTTCTGTACTCAAGAATGCACATATTTTTATTCAATGAGAACACTGAAACACATCCGGGCATATTCTGTATTCTGTCTCTGAACAAACTGTCAACAACATCAATCTCATTCACTTGGCTTTTATTCACATTTCAAATATGCTAACGCTAGCAAGATCTTTACATTCCACTGTGTGCCTTGGAAAAACCAGACTTCTATGAGCGTTCAGACAGAATAATAATAATAATAATAATAAAAGCAGCATCCCAGTTTAAAATAGAAAGCCATATGTGATGAGTGTATGATAGTGTTCGATATCTATGTGCTCGCTCGCACATCCTCAGTTCATTAAAAAGGAACTCGAACCTGATAAATAAAATTAAAAGATAGCCAAACATTTTGATAAAATCATCATCATCAACTGAAATCTCACACTGACAATAAAATCAGATAGAAAAGTGACTGAAGCCCACAGAGAACAAAAAGAAGTGAAATCCATATATGATTGTTGGTCGTTTTCATGTGTACGCGCATGAGTGTCCTCGGGAATACACATCCATCCCAGACAAAAAAGGGAAAATGGTTGCTGTCAGTCATGTAACCGTCCCCTGGTGGTCCTGTGCGAAGGGAGATGGTCCTCACTGCAGAACACAAGATCCAGGGGGCGAGGTTGGATCCAGATCCAACTCCTCCCACCTTACATATACCTAAACCTACCTGTCTCCACCCCCTGATCCCTAAACCCACCCATCTCCACCCCTAAACCTACCATCTCCACCCCCTAGATGTGGATCCAACCCCGCACCCTGGATCTTTGTTCTGCAGTGAGGGGCTACTGTGGGAAGGTACTGTACCTTCCAGGGCTTGTCTCTTCCTTTGAGGCTCCCGTGTGATGGATTTTGACTCGGGAGGCGGCTAAACCCGACCTGCGGCCGCCTCAGTTTCCTGTGTCCAATTACTGTGCTCTGCAGGCTTCACATCCAGGGAAAGAGGAACGATTATTACTGTGGACTTTCAAAGGCATCCCAAGGTTAATGTGCTTCCTGCCGAATTCTCCAGGGCGAGACGTACACCTGGAGGCGCTGCAGGTCTGTTGAGCTGCCGCCGCTCTAGCCCTGCGTCACACTGTCCCCCGAGCTTCTTCCAAAGCCATCAATAATTTAAACAACTCATAAAGAGGGAAATAAAAATGTAAAAACAAACAAACAAAAAAAAACTAACTTAAGATTCCACCAGTGAGCCACAATGTAAACATTTTCCCTCTGCGGCCTGATGGTGGCGCTATAGTAGCGCCTCAGGCTTTCTCTCTGTGTCCGTGTCTGCATCTCTACGTGAGGGCCCGCGCTCTCACTGGTACTGGAGGTAATTCTTCAGAGACTGGGGCAAAGGCAATGTTTCGATCTCCTGTAGACGCTCTCGTCCCAGAGCCAGCCGCGCTGCACGTCGACACAGGTCCATCAAAGGGAGAGGCTCCGCTGGAGAGAGACAAAAGCATCTGTTAGAACTGGATTCAAAAAGGGAGAATTCTAATGCACACAGATTGAAGGCAACATAATTGTCTGTTGAGACCAAAACAAAGTTGAAGTGCAAGTCTTTTAAGTGATAGTTCATTCAAAAGATGAAAATTCTGTCATCATTAATCCCCCTCATTTTGTTCCAAGCTTAAAAAAAAAGCACCATAAATGTATCATAAAAGTGTCCACACAAGTCAATACAATACAATACAAATTGTGTGAGATGTTAATGCGAGAACTGCTTTGGGTCAATGAGTTAAACTTGAGAAGCAAATAAGTCCAATTCATGAACAAATTATTTAGACTGATTCCTTGAAGCAGTTCAGTTGATTCATTTCACAAGATCTCCAAAAAAACAAAACAAAAAAAAAAGATAGTTACATAGCTTATGTATATGCATATATCATGAACAAATCATTCTTTTAAATTGGATATTTTCAATGAATCACTTGATCTGGTTCATGGAATTTTTTTTTCCTTCACAAATTGGACCAATTTCACAAACAAATTATTCAGACCGATTCTGTAACCAAGATCAGTTGATTCATTGAAAAGATACATTTAAAACTCAAAAATATGATTAGTTTACAAATTGGACCAATTCATGAACAAATTATTCAGACCAATTCTGTGAACCAAATTGACTGATTTACTGAAAAAAAGACTGGATCAATTCCATGAACAGAACATTTTGACCAATTCCATGAACCAGATCGTCTGATTCACTGAAAAGTTTAGACTCAAAATAATGATTCATTCATGATTGGGTCAACATGATAAGTCAAAATGGCTGAAAAACTAACTTCGAATTTTGTACTTATATATTATCTAAACGTACTTAAGTATTGAAAGTAAAAGTACAAATAAATGCAAAATTTAAAAGAAACAAATAAATATAAAAAAATGTCATACACAGCTTGAGTAGCAAGATTGTGTTCAGTTTTAACGCTTTCTTCCATTTTGTATTTGTGGGTAAGAATAAGAAGCACTTGATATCCGGTACTTATAGTGTCTTTCATTCCAACATAAAACATTTTTGGAATCTGCATCTGAAATAGCATTTAGATGTATGTACACTAGGGCTGTAAAAATGGCTGAAAAACGAAATTCGAATTTTTTACTTAAATATTATCAATATTCGAATTATATTTGAATTTAAAAGGCATAATTTCAGTTAGGGGGGAAAAAAGTTTTGTCTTCTCTCCTGAGGCCACAAGAGGGCACATCGAACAAAATATTATGCATGTTTCTTAAAAGCATAATAAAATAACACGACTATCTTTGAAAAAACTGCATAATGTTTAAAATAATGATTATAAACCTTATATAATTAAAGTTGATTAAACAATTAGAAACAAAACAGAATCATGCATGTATGTATAGTTTAATACAAAGGACCGAAAAACAATCACAAAGAGTATTTTCTTCATTTAAAAACTTGAGATGCAGTAGGATGGGGAAAAACCGCCATAAAGTCTTGAGACATGTTTTTAAAAAGTTGAACTTACATTAATTTTCCATGGCTTTCTAAACATGCGGCTCTCTTGTGCGAGACGCGAGTGCAACGGTGATAGATGTCCCTCTAGAAAATGTGATAAATATGCTCTGTGTGAATGGTTTGGTTTCGGTTTTGACGTAAACAACATCATCTCCGCATTGATGTTCTTTTTTTACGCAATATTTTGAATGAACAACCGAGCAGCGAAGGGCTCCAAGGCCATCTAGTGGGTTGAACTGGATAGACTAATAAAAACATTAAAATGCAATGACACTTACATCGTCGTCGCATTTCGTGCGCCACTGATAAGGCTGCCTGATGCACACCTAAAATTCGAATGCAACGTTTTTGCATTTGAATGTGGATTTTTATTTTAAATTTGTAAAAATTTTTGTCAAATTTTTTGACAGCCCTAGATTGAACCAATTTCTGAAGAAATCATTCAGAATGATTTCATGAACCAGATAAACTGATTAATTGAACAGATTCGACTCAAAAGAATGATTCACATATTGAACTCCCTTATTTTTCCCATACCAGATACAAATTTTCAATAAATAGCAACTCCATTTCACTTCATAACTTAGATGTAGAATTTCTCACATGGTACTGTGTGCCTTCAGAACAGTTATAGTCATGTGGACTACTTTTATGTTAATGTTTATATTAATTTTGCATCTGTTTTGAAAGTTTAGAGCCTTTGTAAACAGAAAAAAAAGACCAGTGCAATTCTTTAAAATGTATCCTTTCATGTTTCACAGAAAAATGACAGTCATACAGGTTTGGAACAGCATGAAGGTGTGACTGGATTTTCATTTTACGGTAAGCTGTTCCTTTAAAAGCACCATGTGATTCAGTGTGTGTGTGTGTGTTTGGGCATCTTGTTCCTCTACATAAGCTGACAGAGTAGTTCAATAATAGATGGATCTTGCCACCGGAGCTCGGTATCCATCAACAGAGCCGCTGCCTCACAGAGGAGTCTGCCGCCACCCATCTGCTTTGAGTCAGCCGCTGCTCCAGCCAAGATTTCATACCGACAAACACAAAAACAACCACGGCTCCATCTGGACAAGATGCCACATCTCCTCTGTTGACCATCAGGTCTTTATCAGGACCTGGGCTGATATGACTAATCAGATCACAAGGATGGCTGCAAGAGTCAGAGCCTGTTCCCTCCTGCCGGCCAATCAGAGTAAGAGATTGTGACAGGCTAATGGTTAGTAGTAAGTATATGTGTGGCTAACAATCAAAAGAGGAATAGTTATACAGCTGCACTGGCACAATGCAAGCACCCACATTGAATATTTATAGCTGTGATGGAGTCCCACACAGAACATGTCGTGAGTTGTCTTCCTCCATCCTGGCAGCTGAACTGAAGGCATAAGCATTGTAATGCCCTCACATAATGCACATTTTCACCACAACAAGAAGTTAAAATGAAACAATGGATCCCTATGGAGCCCTTCACACAGAATGAAATGATTTAATGGCACAAAGCAATGGTTTTTCAAGCTCAAGTTGTTGTTTGTCAAATCGAAATTTTGTGTTGCACTCGGTGAGCGTGAATACTTTTAATGCACATTTCTGTGCCCCCAGCGCCACCAAACAGAATTGCAAAAATGTTTTCAGCTTTCCCACAAAAATCCTCATCAACACTGCCAACATCTACCACTTACTTAAAGTTAATATTTAAATGCAGCACTGTTAGCAAATCTCCAAATAAATGCTTATATTCACTTTTCTATTCAGTATTTGTTGTTGTTGCATAATGATTGATACACTGTATATTGATAATAACAACAATCATAATCAATATTAGTATTATTGTTATAACTATTACCATTAAATGTTATTATATATTATTAAAGATTTTTCTAAAATTAACTGTCATTATACCAAAATGTAATGTCTACAATCACTTTCAGTCTTACAAAATGATTGAATGTTTTAATTGTATTTATATTTTTTAATAATAATTCTACAATATTCTACAATAAAATTCCACAATAATGATGTATAATCCAGTAGCCTATGATTGATCTAATTAAATCAAAGCAGACTGAAAATATTACTTTCTGATAGCAGTAAAACACCCACTTCCTTCTAAATATATTTAGAGTCACATCACCAGTAAGTCCGGCACGTCTCATAAAGAGGCAGATGGCATGTGTAGATGCTGGGATCCAGCTGTACCCAGTGGGCGGGTGTGGGATATGA